CCTTAAACTACGAAATAATACATATTCTCGATATACGTCATCGATAACGATGTATAGTCTAAAATGACTATCACCATTTATCATTATTTTTTATGTTATTTAAGCAGCGACAGCAATTATTAAAAGATATCTTCTAACATTTGAAAAGAACTGATTTCATTTGTTGTTAGTGATCTACTAACAATGTCGGAGAGAATTCGATCGACAAGCTTATATTATCTGTGTATGTGTATGCGTCAGAAATAAATTTGCTCATTAGAGTAATTGAGTTTACTGACATAGCTTCGAAATCGCGTTCGAGCAACTACATACGTTCGTCACGACAATGTTTGATACAGAAAAAGATATAAATACCGTCGCCGAATACTTATATAGTGAAAAACAAAATATAAACAACATCAAAACACTCATAAATCTTTTATGTAGTAACTCTTTTTCCCTGCAGAAGTCTGTTGCAAAATGCCAATTGTCTAAAGCGTATATGCAAAAGGTTTCGAATGATTTAAAAAAAGCAACACCGAAATATTGTGAACTTCTCTACACAACTCGGTTTTTAGCAAAAATAGAAAGGGCTAAATTGATCACGTATGTGCAAGCGCATCCAAACATTTTTTTAGCTTAAGATTTTCACATTTTGAACGTCGTGTTCTTTTGAAAAATCGCAATATATCTGGTCGATCCAGTTAGCAGTCAAAATTCTGAGCGGCTGGTTGGTGCTATATCTTCTACTAGTCCTTACTCTAAGATCAACAGTAAACTTTAATGTCATCAATCTTGTATTTCACATGATCGAAAACTGCTAAGTTAGCGCACTGTTCCATGTCGTTTTTGCGCTGTATAACTCACGTGGTTGACGACTATTATAAACCGACCGTTTCTTAGACGTTTGGGAGAGGGAGGAGTGAACGGTATGTTTCTATTGAGCTGGGCCGTCCACAGATTTACACGTTTTTGATTGCTTTCATTCCACTATCACCTAATTCTCTGCGGTTGATCAACCTTTTTTCTCATTCAATGCTAAAATAATACCCATTCGATATTAATTGTATGCAGTGCATCGTTACTGCGTTTATTAAATTAGTAGACTCAAAACGATCGAATGTTCTCTTTCGCTCTATTTTCAATACAATAGTTGTTGAAAGAAAAATAGTTTTGTTTATGGCTGTTGCGTGTATTTTCAGGGTTATTATAATTTCAAATTCTTATGCATAAATACACATGTACAAGAGGAGAGAGGAAATATTACATAACTATACTAACTAACTATTATTCTCTCTTTTAGTATCTTTTTTTCATGTCATTGTGTCCCTTTTATCACACTGTATTCGATATATTAGAGATGAAAGTTAGACATGAGTTATTGAATATGATATTTGAGAGTATGGTGAGAATTTTTGTTCTTTTCAACAAGATAAATAAAAAAGAAAAAAAAATTTGGTTTCTTTTAGTCATTTTTTTTATAGAACTTTCTATATTGTGTGCTTAGATACCTGTATACATTTAAATAACGCGTCCACTTTGACAATTATTTCTCTCTTTTTCTGTTTCGTTCAACTATAACTCAGAAAATTATATTGCAAAGTATAAAAAGAATTGTGTAGATCACAAAATGAGTAAGCCGTACAAGAACATAGAAAAGGACATTATTCATTTTATACATTTTGAGAGACATATTTTTTTTACTATAAACAAATAGGAGGTGGTGGCAAAAAGAATAACGATATTTGATAGAAGTCTAACCTTGTGTACAATTTATTCATATTTGATCAACTTTTTGTTAGAAGAATAAACAGTTGCATCAACAAAATTTTTATAGAAATACAACGCCATTTTCATCATCATTTGAGTTTTTTATATTCATTATTACCTATATTAACGGAAATGAAAATGTTTTATGAGTACTTTCTGGCATAGTATATAATTCACATGCAGGAAACTTCTCAGAACTGATAATTAACTCAGTAAGTTTTCAAAAAAAACCATCCAGTCATTTTGAGATAAAATTATTAAAAATTCCTGTAAGATCTTAAGGTAAGATTTCACATGTTGTTTTCTTATAAGGTCATATAAGACATCAACATATTTATCGGCATGACTTTTCTAAATTCTTGTACAGTCTTGTCCCAAGATATCGTATTATCTATTAAAATTTCGCACTGATTTTACACGAACTTATGATAAGATTCTGTAAGAATAGATTCTAAGTTCTTGATACAAAAAAACAAAGAATCTTGAAAACAATTATAAGATGCATTGCGCACGTAAGTATCTCTACAAGCTTATTAGATCTGGTAGTACATTAGTTTTCAAACAGAAACCATCAGTTTAAAGCAAAAACATCTCTATTTTGATGTTTGGGTGCACCATTTGATGTTTCATATTTATTAGCATGATTTACGAAAAATGCACTTCGTTCTATGTTGAGCGAAATTTTTTTCGGCAATGGTGAGAAAATCGTTGTAGTATAAACAGCTGTGTTAGCAAAGGACTTGCGAACTAAATGTGAAATTCCGACTTCTGTCCTGTTCGTTCCTATGATTGATAATATTGTTTAGGAAACTATAGGCCCATACAACTCATGTTGGATTCCTCGATGAAAAGCAATAATATTAAATAGACGTTTCGGAAGCTGCTAAACGAATGAAAGGTAATGGTGCCTACGCTGCAGTATATTGAGATACAATACCTCGAAGCCAAATAGGTTAAACGCATTTCACTGTGAATTAGCCTTTATCGCAAATAGTATACGAAAGATTCGAAAATTCGAGATAGAACAAATATCTTAAACAATTTGGTGAAAAGAGAGCTATATAAAAATCCTGCAAACAGGCCGATTTTCAATCTAAACACACTTATTTTTTATATCTAAAAAGTCGGAGTTTCACAAGAACGTGTAATGCATACGTGTCGAACATTCTGACAAATAAAAGTTTATACTAAAATACACATGAAACGTAATTTTTGAAATTGTAACGTTTTTTCGACAATCGTTTAATTAACTGTTGACAATATTTTGTAGAAGAATCATTTACACGTAAAGAAAATAAAACAAAAAATAGAGCTGTTAACTAGTTAATTGTTGAGTCGCATGCAACAGAGCAACAGAGAAGAAAAAACTGCCCGTTCCTCTATGGTATGGGATCAGACGGAAGAGAATATGTGCCATTATGACTGATCCATCATATCGCCGACAGAAAAATAAAGTTCATTTAGAGTTGAGGAAATGTGCTCTTTCGTGTTCAGTACACTCGATAATCCAGAAGATTTTTTATTTTTAGCGAGAAATATCGTCAAAAGGTTGGGAAATTTTTTCAAACAAAATAGCGAAAAAATATTTTCATGGGAAAATAATATTAGTTTCAAAATTTTTCTTAAAAGTTTGGCAGTACTCCTCGTCAAAAATAGAAAATCTGCTGGATTATCAAGTGTACTGAACACAAAAGAGCACATTTCCACAACTCTAAATGAACTTTATTTTTTTCTTCACGTTGATATAAATAAAAAAGATACGCTTATTCCGTATGCTTTTTCGTTTGTTAGTAACGCAGATTCATTGAATGAAAACTGTGAATTACGATAAAATGAAACTTCACCTCCTTTTTTTTGATTTCTGCCAGACAAGCTATAGTTAGCGAGAAAAATACTATAAATCATTCTCCGTAGATAAATATCTCGGTAACCACAGTTTGTCTGGCAGAAATGAAAAAAGAAGGTGAGATTTTATTTGGTCTTTGTTTAAATTCACATCTATCATCGTTTTCAAAAAATGAAACAAGCACGTTTTTCCCATCAGATCATACAGTACCGCAGTAAAATGTCATAAATGAGAAAAACAAATGGACTGTAAACGTGTGCCTATTTTTTTTTTTTTTGTAAAAAAATTTAGTATATTCGTGATACGACGTGAAAGGTTGTGATTGATGGTTTTTGTTAATGTTTATTAAAGCATAGGTCATCTTAAGTTTCACATACAGTCTCATGAAGGAGGGAACTTTTTTTTCATTACCCAGATAGACACACCATATACATATAGAGATAACAAAAATCTCATTAATTCTTGTTTTTCTATTCTAATCAAAAGTTTTGGAATAATGAAGCTTTTCGTTTCAACATTCAAGATTAAATTACCCAGAATGGTTTAATCGTTTTCCTATTAAGCTACGAACGTTGACCTGGATTACAGTTCAAAATACAGTCATCTTCCTTTTCATCCAAACTTTCGATCATTTTTTCCCCACAAACTTTGCTTCATCAAATTTATGAACTTACAATTGCCGAGTTTTCTACATAGAAATAGAGTATTTAGGACTAAATTCCATGAATAACATTCATACTACTCTTTTCTTGAGAACAATATAAACGTAACAATAATTATGGGACAGAGCTCCTAGTCTCCGTCACTTCGGTGGCTATGCCACTAACGAAGCTGTATGTTATTTGTTAAGATTTCATCTATCTCTTTGTAGATTGTCATTCTATTTGGTTACTCGTAGTTCCGTTTTGTAGTTATACTTCTTAACCACAACTTTATCCTATAAGAACTGAAAAGTAAAAGAATTACAAATAAGATGAGCAGTGTCTTCTCTTTGCTCTATCTACCGCAAACTGACCACACATGCATGGCGAGTGCGAGAATAACCTTGTTGTAAGAAAAAAGAAATATAAGATAAAAAAAGGAAAATAATAATCTTATGAAGACTAGAATAAATTGAAAAAGAGTTAAAACACGATACTCTCAAACCAACAAGAAAACGGAGAAGAAAAATCAAAATGAATTTTTTACATCAGCAGATAAAAACAGATAAAACATAAAATTTTTTTCGTGTGCGTATACTTATAAACTCACAAATTACTAACAGAACATTGTTTGCATAAAACAAAAAAAGGAACGAGAGTACAGGATCAGCAAAAGTTAGAACGTATAAGTGAGTAGTAGAGTAGTGAATAATTAGAGCAAACATTTTCATAGTGTATTGTCTATTGTTGATTTGTTTTTCAGAATGAAATTTTATCTGTTATTATTACTGATTGGCTTAGCAGCCGAAGTGACTTTATCGGCTAAATTACTGGCAAGAAGTTCGAGAGAATTGACATTTCGAGAAAATCGACGATACAAACGTTTAGTTAAACGACAATTGCAAGGTGAACAAATTTCATTTTGTACTTGATAGT